AGCGCCCCTTAAACGGTGCGGCAACTGCATTCGTTGCGACGGCATGTACAGTGGCGTGCTTGGTCGGTCCCCGAGGACGATGTCCGTAATAGGACCGCGGTCTCGGTCGGCGTAGAATGTCGATCTTCTCGGCGAGCGCGAGAATCTCGTTGAAATTAGAGAGTCCGCGCAGCATTATCTCGTGCGAGATGTCCGGCTTCAGCCCTCCGACGTAATGGTCCACCCGCTCCGCTTCGTGCATGTAGCCGACCTGCTCGCAAAGTGCGAGAAAACCGCTGGTATAGTCTTGAACTGACCCGAGCTGGCGCCAAGTGCGCAGTTTCGGACGCGCCGAAATTGAAGCCGCGATCGGCTCAAAACGCGCCTGAAGACCTGCGCACCACGCATCCCACGTGCTGTATTGGGCGGTTTCGCAGAACGAACTCCAGGTGACAGCTGGACCCGAGGGCCCTTCCTCGTGCGACGGTGGCTCGTAGGCGCGTGGCGACGTCACGATGACTCGCCACCAGTCCATGGCGGGGCCCCTTAGCAGTGAAACCGCATACCGGATCTTTGCGGCGTCCGACTCGACGTAATTGGCGTCGAAGAAAACGTTCATCGTGAAGACCCACGATTGAACTGTCGGACCGCCGCGTTGACTTGGGTCGAAGCAGGGCGGGCGTTGCGGATTGAGCGGCATCGGTGCCATGTTGGAGTGTTCGCCACTTGTCGCCGCAAATTCCACGTGCCGACGGACTTCTTGGGGCTCCCGTGGGCTTGGTGCGATCCTGTTTCCTCCCATGCCAGGCATCGGCTGGGCGGCGCCCTCACTGGCTGCGCCTGAGCGTTGTCCCGTGCTGTCGTGTTGTGTTGGTGTGCCGGACGAGATGATGATCGGCTCGTCCGAATGTGCAGATGCGTTTGTTGGTGCGTGGGATGTCGTCGGTATGTTCACCATAGACTGTTGACGGGCGGAGTCACGTTCCGCCGTGAGAGTCGCGATTTCGAGCGCCGAGTCCTTCAGTTGACGCACGAGACGATCGAGTTGCTCTTGCGTCAATGTGGCGAGCGTGAAATCGGCCATGGCGGGGGTGTCGGGCAAGCTCAGCGAGAGCCTCGGTCGTGGCCGTGCGTGCTTGCGAGAGAGCACTACGAGCGGCGGTGCTGTATCGCTGAGAGACGTCTACCCCCCCCAAAAAATTGAGATAGTGGGAAGCGAAGGTGTGGACGCGGTCCGAGATGAGATAGTAGGCTCTGAATACCAAGTGTTACGAGTGCAATTGAGTGAACGAACGAGAATTGCACTATCGAAGCAAGAATACAATGAGCGAAGGCATGAGCGAAGAATATATAGCGAAACTACAGTGGTAACGGTAATGGTCGCGCGACGAGCCTGGGACTGAGGTTGGGAAAGTGTCGAAGCGTAGGCCTGGAGCGCGGGTTACCAGCCGAGCCGTGAGGTCGGGATGCGATGTGCGAAAATGGCGGGATGATGAATGATGCGATGGTCGCGAGTGGTAACGGTGCTGACTGAAGTGCTACAGTGATGTACGCGTTGAGCAGGGATGCGGAGTAAGGAAAAGGGAATTTCCTTACACATAACAATTTACCATCGAAGGAACCTCACTGCTGTAAGTGCATTGCAAAATAGATCCCAACACGCCCTACCAGCCGTATTTAACCGTGGTGAAACATGAAGTTTGCGGACGAAGGAAGAACTGCATTTCGTGCCGCGACCGCGATCACTTCGGAAGCATGACAAATGGGGTACTGTTCGTGGAGTGGGGTGCCGCTGGAGTTGCTACTGTACGGCACATCCCACTGCTTGTTACTTTGTCGTGTTCTTCCGTAATCACCGTGAACCCAGCCCAGCGTTCAGACTGTCAAAAGTGCATTTGTCTTCGAACTCGAATCACAGAGCTTCGCGCATCCATGTCACACCCGTAATACCCGGGCTAACTGTGCCGCCAATGTCGCCTCATGGTAGCCAAGAAATTTATGGAGGGGATGTGATTGTGTGACGACGAGGCAAAAATGTTCCCGCGCGAAATTTTTTGCCCTTCAACTTAGCGGTTCGGCCCCACATTGGTGACCTGACGACCACCCGACCGCACCACACAACACCCTTCCCAGATTCAATGTCTCACAGCTGGCCCTTGTTCGGTTCCACATCAAATCTGCAGTGCAATCGAGTCAGCAAGCTGACCGCGGGCAAGAAAAAAACTAAAACCCACTCGGAAGGCATGCCATCCGAGGGAGCCTCAACCCTAAAATTTTAGGGTTGAGGCTCCCGAATGGCATGCTGTCGCGATGGGATTTATTTTGTTTGCCCGCGGTCAGCTTGCTGACTCGGTCGGTAGCGCTACCTAGCACTACCGGGCGCTACCGGCGCCAGAAAGTGAAAGTGAAATGTATTGCCCTTCAACTTAGCGGTTCGGCCCCACTTAGGTGACCTGACGACCACCCGACCGCACCACACAACACCCTTCCCAGATTCAATGTCTCACAGCTGGCCCTTGTTCGGTTCCACATCAAATCTGCAGTTTCTCCTCCCCTATGAGCTTCAGTGTACGTGTTCTGTACATTTCAAATTCCTCCAACCATTGTTCGCTGACCTCGATACAGTATGCGGTCCGGGAACAAGACACCCAGTGGTGAACGAGTGGCAGCGATTGTCGCCGCCCGCTGAGCTGGCACCACTTCGAACGGTGGAGCGCCTCTCACGACGAGGACTTAGTGTCGTGATCACGATGAAACAGTGGGTGTGATCGCGTCGCGCAGCAAAAAAGGTCAACTCGAGAGATGATTGTCCAATTTCCGCACCTCACTCTGCGGCATTTTAGGCGCTCTTCAGTTTGATGACCAGACCAGACCTATAATCCGCAAAGTGCGCCTCCTGTCCAGCATTTGTTCAAATAAGAGCTAGCTCGTTCAATCAGAATTCCTTCTCCACTCACAGGAGTAAGTTCTCTTGTTGATTTTTTGTACGCGGCCATAGCCTGTACGGCAACATCAGCAAAAGACTCCCCTCCAAGTCAGCTTGCCTAAGCACGAGCTTCACCCATTCCTTCCATTTTGTTTGACGCTTTCTTATTTTCTGAAAATATCGTTTACGTCTCGCATCGTCAAGACATCCAGCAACTTCTCGAAGCATCTCAAAATGGGCGTCAGCGGTTCGAAGGCGGCGCATCTTCCCAGCTTCAAGCGAGCTCGGAAGCTTCGCGAGAAAGTCTCACACGCCATCCGGCGTTCAAAGTCAGTGGACAGTCGCGTCGCGAACATCCCCGACTCGGGACGTTTTTCCGTCGAGTCGTACCCTCTATCATCCCGCGCGTTCCCTCGATCGGAATCGGACCAGATCGCGCCGTATCCACAATCGGATTCGGATAAAATCTTGGAGGCCTATAGCAGCTCCGACGGCAGTTCGCCGTGCACGCCGCGCCTGCTGCTGGAATGGCAGCATCGCATCGGCGACGACTTCTTCGACGAGGCGCTTGAATTGGAGTTTTACGAATGCGAGGGGAATGAGTGCGGAGCGGTGAACGAGCGTGACCAGCGGAACACGCGCGGCAACGGTGCTGAAAGGACAGGCTTGGAGAATGGAATTCCGAAAAATGGGAGTTCCGTTGCGCTGTCCTCCTCGGAGTTGCCGCTGAGTTCGGAAGCCGGCGCGGTGAATGACGCCGAGGGTCGGCGGGTCATCGTGGATCGGATGCTTGGTTCGGTGCAGGCTCGGGAAGGCCTTGATGCAGGCCTGTACGCCGGTTTGGGGAGGAACTACCCCATAGTCATGCGACTATCCGACTCGTGTCCGCTGCCGTCGTACGTGGTCGCCCACTCGTAACCGCTCGCATGCAACAGGCGCACGAAATCGCAGACACGTCGCAGCCGTCGCACGCGGGATCGCTGCATGTTCTAAGCACCTGCGCGGCGAGTATTTTCCAGAAGGGGCTGCCTTTTCCGCGACAAACAACGCTCCAGGACTTATGATGTTCCAGAAGGTCCTGGTGCTTCTGACTAACAGTGTGCTACTAACAGTGTGCCACTTGCACCATTCATTTGCTACGCATGAGCAGGGCATGTGATACTGACACTTGGTAGTTGTCCTGGCATGTGATAGTGCGCCCAAGTTCTGTCAGCCATGAGGTTTCGACATTTGCTCGAACGTAAAGCGAGCAATTCCGTTAGCTCCCTGGGAACCGAACAGAAAAAGTAGGGAGCATGGCAGGTTGTGACAGGTGAAGGTTTAGCGTGACAAATGTACCTCTCTCCCTCATTAGTGGAATAAGGCAAAGCTGTGCTACCGGTATGTGTATCGCAGTTACTTGGCAACACTTTGATTGCCTCGTTCAAAGCAACCAGACAACACGCGTTGTTAATTGTAATTGATCTAACAAGCCCTCCAATGACAGTGAACGGAGGCTGTGTTACCGGTAATACAGTGTTTCCTGATATCATTTCTTGATGTTGATAGACATGCTTGCTAAACAACTCAATCAAACACTGCTCCCAGCAGAATTAATTCCCTTCACCCACCCCCTCAGCCCCCTCCACTACCCCTTCCCCTTCCCCTTCCACACCCCCCAGATGAAGGAATAAGATGTTTTGGTACGAGTTTCACCGCCCAATTCCCAACAGTGCTGGCCTTTCTAATCTCCTCCTGAACTACCTTTTATCATAACTCAACTGTGCTTGTACCGTACGTACTTCCTTCCCTCGACCCCCACTCATCCTCGCACTCCACGCTGCGCGCACCCTAGTCCTCCACCTCTGCGATGATCTCCTTAATCAGCTGCTGCTTGACTCCTGACACGTCTCAAAAGCCACTTACGAGGCATTAATCCCCATGCTCCCCACCCCTCTCATCATTCTAGTCCTCCACCTCCGCAATGATCTCCTTGATCAGCTGCTGCATGCCTGCTGAGACGTTTCAAAAGGCACTCCACTCCATCCCCTCCACCCCAACTTCCCTTACCCCCACCCGCTCGCCCTCTCTAAACCCTCTCATTCTAGTCCTCCACCTCCGCAATAATCTCCTTGATCAGCTGCTGCTTGTAATCCTCGAAGCTTCCCGGAAACTTCTTGGTCGTGCCATCGTCCACGACCCAGATCTCTGCCCTCTCCTCGTCGTCACACACGCGCGAGATGAGGCGCGAATCGTGAGACACCAGCACCACACCTCCGGTGAATTCGTCTAATGCATCTGCCAGAGCATCGATACTCTGTCAAGGGAACGGGGAGACAAGGGGGAGGCAAGATTGAGGGGAACGAGCCACAAATCATGCGACACAGACACCAAGCCCACTAGCACTGTAAGCCCCGCTCGTCGACTTTTGAGTCGACTCAAAAGCCCCGCTCGTTCGTGGTGTGGTGCACCAATGCATGGTTCATGTATAATGCATTTGTCAGCGAGGCGATACTCTGTGGCCGAGACATGCTAATAGGTAACTGACTCAACACATGCCCTAGATTCCCGCACCAATCACCAAAACACACCTGCATCTCAAGATAATGGTTTGATTGGTTCATCCAGCAGCAGAATGTGCGGCCGGGCCATGCTGATCGCAGTGAACACCACCCGGACAAGTACCAGTGTGTTTGCAGCAAGGTTCAGGCACGAAACATGAGTGAGTGGCATGTCACCATACCTGCATGCCTCCATACCAGCAGACACCATACCTGCATGCCTCCATACCAGCAGACACCATACCTGCATGCCTCCATACCAGCAGACACCATACCTGCATGCCTCCATACCAGCAGACACCATACCTGCATGCCTCCATACCAGCAGACACCATACCGAGACTTTTCACCAAGGTTCTGGCATGAAACATGAGAGTGAGTGGATTAACAATATACCTGCATAACACCATACCTGCATGTCAAGATGGTTGGTTGGTTCATCCAGCAGCAGAATGTGCGACCGGGCCATGCTGATCGCAGTGACACCCTACGCGCTGACTCAACACAATGACCTAACTACGTGCACCAATCACCAACACATACCTGCATATCCAGATGGTTTGTCAGTTCATCCAGCAGCAGAATGTGCGGCTGGGCCATGCTGATAGGTAATTGTCCAAACAAATTACCTAAATACCTAAACAACACACACCTGCATGTCCAGATGGTTTGTCGGCTCATCCAGAAGCAGAATGTGCGGTCGGGCCATGCTGATCGCCGTAAACACCACCCGAGCCTTCTGCCCTCCGCTCAGCTTCACGATCGGCGTCAGATGATTGTGGCTCGGCAGCCCAAACTTCCCGAGCCTGCTCCGAACCGCCTCCTGCCGGCTCGGGCCCTCCTGGTTCGGGTACAACCGGAGCAAATACTCCACTGGAGTCTCATCAAACGCCAGAAGGTCCACAAAATGCTGCGAGTACCGCCCGATCCGAAGCTTCTGGCTCTGCCTAGACTCCCCCTGCGTCGGCTGCAGGTCCCCCGCGAGCAAATTCAGCAGCGTCGACTTCCCCGCCCCGTTCGGCCCGACAATCGCAACCCGCGTCCCCATGTCTATCCCTACATCAACCTCAGAAAGCGCGAAATCCGGCCGGTTGGGATACGAGAAGGAGACTTCTTTGAGTTGGAGCAGAGGCGGTGTGAGTTCGGTGGGTTCAGGGAAATGGAATTCGACGGCGTAGTCCCGCCATCTCTTGGGGGCTTCGGCTGGCGTGTCGTCGTCCGCATCGCCGGCTGAGCTGGCGCTCTTCTTGCCGCCCTTCCGAGCCTCTTTCTGTGCGTTGAACTTGGCCCGGTCCTTCACCTGTGATTGTAACGGGGGGTGGGGTGATTGTGAGGGAATGGTGAGGGGTTGAGTTTGAAAATTGGTTCAAACGTCACTCTCAGGCCTCTTTCTGTGCGTTTAAGTTGGCCCGGTCCTTGACCTATGATTGCCACAAGGGGTGTGCGGGTTGTGAGGGTTTAGGAAGGAATCAGGGTCAAGCTGAGTATGCAGCTGTGATTCTACTGATGGTTTGAGAGTTTAATGGGTATGCTTGACAACAAAAAAGCCTGGTTACCTGGTTACCCAGTTCTCCTCTTGTTTCTCATACTTTAACTTCTAGTTCTTCTCCCACCCCACACCTGGTTGCCAGTACCTGTGTATTGGGTTACTCTCAGTAACTTGGTTACCAGCCTCCTTGTCCTGGTCGCTTGGCTGCCTTGAGCTGTTTCTCATACACCTCAAACTTGTTCTTCTTCTCCCACCCTAGTACCTGTACATCAAGTTACAGTTACCTGGTAACCAGTGCTCACCTGCTACTGGTTCTGCCTGTTGCCTGGCCGCTTGGCTGCTTTGAGCTGCACCTCATGCACCTCACAGACTTGTTGTTCTCCCACGCCAACTCCGGTTGCAGTTACCCGGTTACCACCACTCACCTTGTCTTGGTTCTCCCTGTTCCCTGACCGTTTTGCCGCCGTGAGCTGATTCTCATACACCTCAAACTTCTTGTTGCTCTCTATACCCTTGGAATTACATGATTACCAACTCCACTCACCTTGTCCTGGTTCTGCTTGTTCCCGGACTGCTTCGCCGCCTTGAGCTGTTTCTCATACACCTCAAACTTGTTGTTGTTTCTCCCACCCCAACTCTGGTTGCCGGTACCTGTGAATTGGGTCACTCTGTAATTACCTGGTTACCTGGTTACCTGGTTACCTGGTACCGGTGCTCACCTTGTCCTGGTTCTGCTTGTTCCCGGACCGCTTGGCCGCCTTGAGCTGTTTCTCATACACCTCAAACTTCTTGTTGTTCTCCCGCCGCTTCTGTTCGTACATCTCCTCAAACCCCTCGAAGTTACCCTGAAATGCGAGAACGAGAACAGAAACGGGAAAGAAAAAAAAAAACATATCTGTGATATGTCGTACTCTCCCGTCGCTTCTGCCCGTACATTGATTGAAATTCATCGGAAAAGGGACAATAAGAAGCTAGAAAGACAGACAGAGCAAGAGGGAGGCAATGCTTGAAATCCGCGTTCCTTGCCACTTAGCATCGGGTAGGTAACTACCATCACCCTCAAAACAATGACACAATAAACAGCCGCTCTTACCTTCTACAGAAACAGCTTCTCGTGCAAGTGGATAACATCCGTGCAGACTGCGTTGAAGCTTCCCTCGAAACAATGATTCAGAGACAGCCGGACTCGTACCTTGTAGAAGAACAGCTTCTCGTCGTGCAGGTGAATAATATCCGTGCAGACCGAGTTAAGAAAGTCGCGATCGTGCGACACGACGATTAAAGTCTTCTTCCACCTCATCAAATACTCCTCCAACCATAAGACCGCCCTAAGATCCAGGTGATTAGTAGGCTCATCCAGCAGCAGCAGCGTCGGCTGCACGTAAAGCGCGCGCGCGAGCGAAATTCGCATGCGCCACCCCCCAGAGAACGATTTCGTCGACCGCGCCTGCATCTCCTTTGTAAACCCTAAACCCGCGAGGATCTTCGACGCGCGCGCTTCCGCCGCTTCCGCGCCGATCTCCCGCATCTCGTCGTACACGTGCGCAAGCTTCTCGCTTGCGCTCGCCTCGTCTTCCTCCTCCTCCGCCGTCGCGGCTGCGGCGGCGGCGGCGGCAGCAGCAGCAGCTGCTGCTGCTTGCGCGCCCTTCTTCCTCCCTTTCCCTTTCCCCTTCCCTGTCGTCCCACTCTCCGCCGTTTCTTCCGCCGTTTCGCTACTCTCTCCCTGCTTTTCCTTTTCCTCCCCTTCTCCGCCTCCTCTCGTCCCCTTCTCCCCTTCCCCTTCCGCATGCGAATATTTATCCAAAATCGCTCGTAACCGCGCTTCTTCCTCGCGTAACTTCACCAGCTTCAGATCTGCAGTCACGACAGCTTCTAACGCGGATCTTTCGTCCCCAACCACCTCCTGCTCCACTAAGAGCACGTCAATGCCACGTGGCACCGGCAGCTGCCGCCGCGCAAGCAGCTTCATCACCGTCGATTTACCCTTGCCGTTAGGACCCACTAACCCGTACCGCCTTCCGTGGACGATAGTTAGCGACGCGTTCCTGAATAGTTCCTTCCCACGCGCCGAGACCGAAAAGTTCTCCACTTTAATATCCCGCACGTTCGCGTCGGCCGCAGTTCCCGCCGCGCCGTCCGCGTCTTCCGAAGGGTCATCCGCGACTCGGGAACCGAGAGTGACGGAAAACGCGTTAGCGTCGTCCGCTTTAAGAGCCTCTTTACGCGCATCTTCCTGGGCTTGCTCAATCATAAGCTCCTTCTCCTTCTTCTTCTTCGCTTGCTTATCCGACATCTGCAAGCTACCCATCCCCGTTACAAGCCCGCGACCCCTCCCCGCCTTGGATCCGCCAATATCGTCGTCTTCAACAAACTCCCCATCATCTGCGCCGTCCATTATTTCTTCCTCCTCGTCATCGGACGGCGGGAGATCGACGCCCGCGAGGTAATCGTCTTGCGGCTTTTTGCTCGGCGGAGCGCGCGATTTCTTTCCTCCGCCGCCGCCGCCGCCGCCGCCGGAAGAGGCGACGGACGGTTTCTTTTCGCCTTTACCTTTCTCCTCCACCACTATGCTGCTGACGGAAAACTTTTTTCGGTCCGCGGCGGCCGGCTTGCCTGACCCCGCTTTACCGCCTTTGCCGCTCGTTCCGCCGGCGGAATCGCCTTTCTTGGGAGCCATGGCCGGGGAATGTGCTGACACGAGCTATTTAGGTGACGCGTTGGTGACAGAATGCGTCGAAAGCGGAGAAAACCAGAGAAGACGCAACTCGATTATAGTCTGGTATCAGCCGGGTTCGCGACGTTCTCGAGGTATCTTCGCACGTATGAAAACGCGCAAGTTTCAACTATGTTCATAAGTTTCTACCGAATCCCGAGGTACTTGAATGAAAGATCCAAAGTTACCAAGTGCCGCAACTAAAGGTTTGTCTGTAGCAACTTTGCTTGCAACGTAAGGTTTTGAGAGGGGTATGGCACGCATACCGTTCGAAACGAGTGTTTGAAGAGGTTCAGCACGCTACCACGGATTCCAGTGGGATAAAATAGGGAAAATAGTGGATGTGCAACAAGGAAAATAGAAAGCATGCGGCATCCTCAATGGGTGGGGCAAAATCCATAAGTGCGATGGCAGCCGCAAATTGGTGGCCACGCGGCAAATCCGAGCTGAGCTGGCGCAGCGTCATGGGATGAGTAGTTCTAGGATACTCCAGCATCACGGCGGGGAGATGCGACACCTTACTAGTGTACACTGTAATCACGGTGCATATATATTTGGATCAGTCCACAACATATCATATATTGATGTTTGGGTTTGGTTCATGAGATCATGAAGGAGCTTTATGGTCTTGAAGTAGATCCTTGAAGGCGTGTGACATTCTGCATATATCAACAACACAGGGAGGAGGACCAATAATCAAACATTTGATAAATCCAAAAAAGGCGACTTACTTTCAGGAAATGATCATAGAAGAAGGGCGTACCTCCAAGGGAGGTGGTCGAGGAACATGGAGGGTGAGACGAGAAGATCTCGCAGCGACTCCCGAGGAATGAAGCGAGCGCGGTGGCATGAGGAGGCAAAGGGGTTGCCTGCCAGTGACCGAAACGATTCCAGCAACCCCGGCTTGGCTGCCGCTGCCTCCAACACCCTCTCCTCCTGTGACCCGCCTTGCATCCCGCCTTGCATCTCGCCCATTCCTGAACCCCTGGCTTTGCCCCCCCCTTCAACCCCCGCATCCCCCTCATCCCCCTCACCCCTCTCTCCCCTCTCGCCCCCCCCCACTCCTCTCACCCATCTCAACCCCTTCACGCCCCTCATCCTTGCTTCTCGCCCATTCGTTCCCGTTTTGTCGGGCTCCTCCGTTTCGATCACCTTCGTTAATATCACCTTCTATAACATCAATGCAGATCGCACCGTCATTCCCATTGCCCACATCGATCCTCACAGGCGCTGCGTCAGCATCAGGCGGACCGGCTGCTGACGTGGCACCCTTATCCTCCCGCACTGTCTGCACTGCTGATGTGGCAGCCTTATCCTCCTTCACTGTCCGCACTACTGACGTGGCAGGTCGAACCTCTTCCCTCACTATATGCACAACCTTGCCGAGCACATACACCTCCCCTGGGAACTCCTGCTCCTGCTCCACCAGCCAAGCCGGCGGGCTCCTGACATCTGTAACACCCCCCCCCATGCGGTTACCAGCACCGCCACTCGCACTCCTCCTCGCACCAGCACCACCAGCAGCACCGCTCCTTTGGTTCCCTCTTCCTCCTCCACTCCCACCCCAGTGAAGGCCACCACTCCAGCCACCGCCACTGCTGCCGCCACTGCCACCCCCATCAGCATCGGCTGCAGCAAGTGCAACGTCGTTGGCGCTGCTGCTGCGGCGGGGGAGGTGGGAGAGGAGAGAGAGGGACCGTTTCATGCGCCCGTGATGCAAGGGAGGGAGCTTGTGGGGCGATGCTGCTGCTGCCTTGTGATTCTGCTGCTGCTGCTGCTGGTGGTGGTAATGGTGATTCTGTTGCTGGGACTCTGCTGCACTGTTGTCTTCCCTGCAGTCACCCTCCCCAGCACTTGCATCATTAGAGGCAGTATCAGCAGGAGAGGCAGCACGAACGAGAGAGGCGGCAGCAGCAGGAGAGGTGGCATTAGCTGACGAAGCAACAGATGCTTCCTCGTTGTTTCCTTTGAATCCGCTCCCATCACTATCCCTCCTCCCAGAAGCGTCGCTGCTGCCAGCACGAGCTGCAGGGAGGGAGGGAGGGGTAGTAGTAGCAGGAGGGAGGGGAGGAAGAGCGCGTGAGTGAGTGGTGGTGGCAGGAGGAGCAGGAGCAGCAGAAGGAGCAGAAGGAGCAGCAGCAGCAGCAGCAGCAGCAGCAGAAGAACCACCACCACCACCACCCACACCAACACCGGTAGAAGCAGCAGCAGCAGCACCACCAGCACCAGCAGCAGCACCACCACCACCACCAGCACCAGCAGCAGCAGCACCACCACCTGCACTAGCAGCATCGGCAGTGGCAGCAGCAGGACCATGGGCAGTGCCAACAGCATCATCTGCATATTCAGGCGCCTCCGAATGCTGCTTCTCTGGGAGCTCCATTTTGGTGCAGCAGTGCTCATGCTGGCTGGTACTTTCACCAGAAGCAGCAGCGGCAGCAGCAGAATTGCTGGCACCATCAAGAGTGGCAGCAGCAGCAGCATCTACGTGCTTAGGAGCCTCAGAACGCTGCTGCCCTGGGAGCTCAATCTTGGTGCGGCAGTGCCCATGCTTGCTGGCGGATACAAGAAAACCTGCCACTCCAGACACAACCCACCACACCCCTTGCGCCTCATGCGCGGATTTCACCCACTGCCGCCTGCTGCTGCTGCCACTCCTGCTGGTGACACTCCTGCCACTGCTTCTGATGCTTCTGCTAATACTCCCGCTGTTGATGCTGCTGCTGCTGCTGTTTGGCCCGGCAACTCTCCGTTGCCTGTCGTCGCCTATTCTGCTTTCTGCTCCTAAGATGGAGGTGCTTGGTTCCATGGGTAGTGATATTGCCGCAGGTGGCACTGTAGCAGGCGGCACTGTAGCAGGCGGCACTGTAGCAGAAGGCACTGTAGCAGGTGGCACTGTAGTCGGATGAGCAGTAGATCCTGTCCCTTCGGCCGCCCCTGATAAGTTATCTAGTGGTAACCTTGTATTGTCAGCTCCAGCTGATTCAGCTAACACCGCTCCAATCTCTTCAACTATCTCTGCTCCTCCTCTTGCTGCTGCTGCTGCTGTGGCTGCTGCTGCTGCTTCTGCTGATGTTTCGCTTGCCAAACCACCTAAGCCTACCGAGCTTCTTACAAAGGAAAGGTCGGAGATTGACCTCCCGAGGTTAGGTTTGCCGCTAGGTTTGGTGATAGGCTTGGGGCCAGCCTTGGAAGCCCCAACGTTAGATCCCCTAATAGAAGAGCCACCCATATATGCATACGCAGAGTCCCGCTGCAGTTTGCTTTCCACCTCCTGCACTCCCTCTAACCGCTCTCCACTGTCCCTCACACCTCTCTCCCCCACGCCACTCCTCCCCTCTGCTTCCCCATCACCCCCATTCTCCCCCTCCTCATCCCTCCCCCTCCACCCTCTCCTCGCTCCCCACCTTCCCCACAGATATTTCTTCTTCTTCTGATGACGTGGCATGACGTTTTCTCTCAGCCAATCCTGTGCGCCCTTACTCCCCTTAGCCTGGCAATACTCGATCAGGGAAGCATAATCCTCCCTTGCGTATCCGGTCAGCCTAGACCCACCGGCAGCAGCAACAGCACCAGAAGGAGCCAGAGCATAACTAGCACCGGCAGTACCATCAGCAGCAGCAGCAGCAGCGACAGCCACACCAGAAGAACCAGCAGCAGCAGGAGCAGCAGCAGCAGAGCTAGTGCCGGCAGCAGCAGTGGCACGTTTGGTGGGAGTGGGAAGAATACCCAATCCCTTCCACTGCCGTGGCATGTGCAGCCCATGCCTTAGCACCTGCTCTTCCTCCTCTTCTTCCGCCCCTCGCTGTCCCCAGTGCCTGTGGAAGGCAAAATGGTGGTGCGGGGTTGAGAGGTGTGCGGCGTGGTGCAGTGCGGTGCGTGCAGAGTGAGCAGCAGCAGAAGCAGCAGATGAAGCTGCTGATGCTGCAGATGCCGCAGCAGTCCTCGCAAAGCTAGCCATCCTTTGCAGTTTCGGCTTCCCATGCTCTCTCTGCTGCTGCTCCCCCTCCTCCTCCCCTTCCTCCGGCCCCCCACTCCGGTTCCTAAGCCCCAACTCCTGTCCTACTGACCCTGCTCCCCCCACCACCCCATCCCCCACCCCGCTCACCCCATCCATCTCATTACCTTCATTCCCGCGCCCTATCCCAAACGGCAGAGTGAAGAGGCGAGACAATAGCCGATCCACTGCTGCAGCCCTCATTCCGGTTGATCCTGCCTGCGCGCCCGGCCCCACTGCCGCTACAGCCGTGCCCAGCAGCCCGCCTGCGCGCGTGTCGGCTGCTACAGCCCGGAGCGCTGCTGCTCGCAGGCGCATGACTGACGCTACAGATGTTCGTGGGGAGAACTCGTCGTTATACACAAAGCTGTAGCGGGTGGGAAGGAGAGGGAGAGGGGAGAAGGGGCAATGTAGGAGGGAAGGGGAACACGCAGTAAGGGGTGGGCGTGGGAGGATAGTGGTATCAACAGTGACTGCTCTGAGTGCCTGGTCCCATCCCACTGCTGCTACAGCCGTGCCCAGCAGCCCGCCTGCACGTGTGCCTGCTGCTACAGCCCGGAGCGCTGCTGCTCGCAGGCGCATGACCGACGCTACAGATGTAGCAGGGGAGAACTCGTCGTTATATACGAAGCTGTAGGCGATGAGGGGGGAAGGGAACGGGGGAAGGCATCAGTGAGGGTCTCTGAGCGCTGCTGCATCAGTGAGGGTCTCTGAGCGCTGCTGCATCAGTGAGGGTCTCTGAGCGCTGCTGCATCAGTGAGGGTCTCTGAGCGCTGCTGCATCAGTGAGGGTCTCTGAGCGCTGCTGCATCAGTGAGGGTCTCTGAGCGCTGCTGCATCAGTGAGGGTCTCTGAGCGCTGCTGCATCAGTGAGGGTCTCTGAGCGCTGCTGCATCAGTGAGGGTCTCTGAGCGCTGCTGCATCAGTGAGGGTCTCTGAGCGCTGCTGCATCAGTGAGGGTCTCTGAGCGCTGCTGCATCAGTGAGGGTCTCTGAGCGCTGCTGCATCAGTGAGGGTCTCTGAGCGCTGCTGCATCAGTGAGGGTCTCTGAGCGCTGCTGCATCAGTGAGGGTCTCTGAGCGCTGCTGCTCGCAGGCGCATGACTGATGCTACAGTCGTGCACGGGGAGAACTCATCATTATATACGAAGCTGTAGCAGAGGGGGGTTGGTGGGTTGGGGGGGGAATGGCACACGTGAGAGCGCCCGGAGCGCTGCTGCTCGCAGGCACATGACTGAAGCCACTGATGTGCGCGGGGAGAACTCGTCGTTTTACCAAAGCTGTAGCAAACATAAAACCCGTTAAGTCGATAGAAAACGCATAACAGAGAAACGAAGCATCGCAAAAAGGGGTTGTTCAGCGACCACAAAACGTTTTGCGAAGCTCTTCCTGGAATAATATGAAATAAATCTGCTACGCATTTACGTGGTGATGAAGTCGCACAACGGAGATTGAGCAGAGCACTGCTCATGTAACCAATAGTTATGCAATTGCAAAGCAAGCACGCACATGATTATGAAGTCGCACTAAAGAAATGAGCAATGCGCTGCCTAATCAAAAGAGAATTGGTCGCGATGTGAAGCAAAGCACGCACGTGGTGATGAAGTTGGAGCAGGCAGATGCAGTGGCGAAGTCCACACAGCGAACACTAAACTGATTGAGAGACCAAGTACAGTCAGCGAAGATAAACAGGCATGCGCAGCAAAGTGAAGGTAAGCCACGCACGTGGTGATGAAGTTGGAGCAGGCAGATGCAGTGGCGAAGTCCACACAGGGCATGGAGCCATAGCCTATTGCCTGCAGCTCAGGAAACCGCTTTCTCAACTATGTGGGGAAGATGGGGTAGGAGGTGGAGAGAGGGGGGAAGGGCTGCTATAAGTGTGTTGCAGGAGTGTTGGTAGGCACCCAGGCAGGCAACTCAAGACAGGTGGCAGGCAGCAGCAGCCGCTGTTGGTGATGCGTGGCAGACAGGCTAATCGATACCGCCCTTTCTACAACGAACCAGGCATCTCCCACCTGAGGTTGTCTCCTCCCAGCCCCTTCCCTACCGCACACCAGCTCACCCGGATGGCAGTGAGGCTACGTGTAAAAAGTGAATTTTTGAAACATCTCAAAGTTCACTTCTCACCCGGATGGCAGTGAGGCTGCACACTACCCCGCCCATGGAATGCCCCACGCTATGGGCACTCACCAGTTGACAGCCTATCTTTTTCCCTTCACAAGGACAGCAGTCACAGTTGCCCAAACAACACCCACTCACCCGGATGGCAGTGAGGCTGCACACTGCGCCTCCCATGGAGTGCCCCACAAGTCGCAGCCCATATCCCTCGCACTCGCCGCCCTCACCCAGTAGCTCCGACAGAATGCCTGCAGGGAAGAGAGTGAGAATGGGAAAAAGACAGGAACGGGAAAGAACCCTTGAAATGAGACAAGTGGGCCCATTCTCCATTATCCTTGAGACAAGCACCCTTGCATTCGTCCCCCTCCATCCTCCACCCCTCCCCCTCTCCCCTCGCTCTCCTACTCTCCCCCATCCCCCATATTATCCAGCTGCTATAGAGCCACGTCCCGTCCCGTGCCACTGCCACCACCATATCAGTACCACCGACCAACATCAGCACCCCCCAATAGCAGCAACCACCGCCATAAGCACCGACTAATACCACCACTCACCTCTTCTCGGCCGCTTCCTTTCCTTCTGCCCCAGTAGCGACCCCTCCTCTTCATCCCTTCCCCCATCCTCAACACTCCCTCCTCTCCCATCTACCCTCCCGTCTCTCCCTTCAACTCCTCCTCGTCTCCCCCATCCCCCATATTATCCAGCTGAAGAGCCAGATCCCGTGCTGCTGTCACCACCATATCAGCAATACACACCATCACCAGCACCCACTAATACTACCACTCACCTCTTCTCGGTCGCTTCCTCTCCTTCTGCCCCAGCAGCGACCCCTCCTCTTCATCCCCTCCCCCATCCTCCACACTCCCTGCCTTTCCTACCTCCCCCTCCTCGTCTTCCCCATCCCCCATGTTATCAAGCTGCAGAGCCAAATCGCGTGCTGCTGTCACCACCCCCGCATGGCCAAAGTACGGCACCAGTCTGTCCGTCACCAGGGGAGGATGGAGCTCGGACCTAGGGGGGAATGGAACGGGAGAGGCGAGGGGGGAAATGGAGGAAGCTGGAAGTGCTGCTGTCACCACCCCCGCATGGCCAAAGTACGGCACCAGTTTGTCTATCACCAGGGGGGGCCCGGGGGGGGAGGAGCTCGGACCCAGGGGGAAACAATCCGCAGGCTGAATCCCCAGAATCCGAAAAGGGGCCACTTACCATACCAGGCCGAATTCCACTCACTCACACTCTGTGGGTCTAAGCAACTCAACATGCCTGCCTGCCAGCCACTCACCTGTCAATCCCACCATATCCGCATCACTGAGCGGGCACTCCCGCCCCAGCCCATCAATAATAATGTCCTCCAATCCAGAGACTCCGTGCCTCTCACTGCCACCACCACCAAGCTCAGCTTCACTCGAGTATACTCAGAGCTGAACTGAGGCAGGTCAACAGACTTTTGAAAATTCTCAAAAGTCACTCGAGTATACTCAGAGCTGAACTGAGGCAGCTCAACAGACCTGTCACGCACCTGTCGATCCCTCCCATATCCGCGTCACTGAGCGGGCATTCCCGCCCCAGCCCGTCGATAATCATGTCTTCTAGGGACTCCGTGCCCCTCACTGCCACCACCACCAGGCGCAGCTGATGCAGCACCACCACGAAGTACACCGCCTGCCCTGCTGCCTCCTGTGTTGGAGAACAGGAGAGGTGGAGTGGGGAGGAGGGAACAAGGTCAAGGTGAGGCTTGGCCTCTTCCATCTGCACTCCTCACCGCACTGCCACGACCACCAGCCGTAGCTGATGCAGCACCACCACGAAGTATATCACCTGCCCCGTTGCCTCCTGTGTTGGAGCAAAGGGGAGATGGAGGGGGAAGGGAGGGGAGATGAGGAGAAGGAGCCAGGTCACAGTCAGGCTTGGGCTATGTGATCCCCAAAAGCACTGCCAGCACCACCAGCCGTAGCTGATGCAGCACCATCACATAGTACACTGCCTGCCCCGCTGCCTCCTATGTTGGAGGAGACGGGATAGGGTTGAGGCGGGGCGGGGGGTGGGAGGAAGGAGAGAGTCAAAACCAGGCTTGAGTTCCCTCATGTAAAACCACCTTCTGTTTCCTTATGTTTCTTTGAATCACCGTTCCAGATCTCACCTCACCCATCTCACCGGCCCCACATCTGACCTGCCCCACATCTGACCTGCCCCACATCTGACCTGCCCCACATCTGACCTGCCCCACATCTGACCTGCCCCACATCTGACCTGCCCCACATCTGACCTGCCCCACATCTGACCTGCCCCACATCACATCTGTACCGAATCTCACCTTACCCAGGTCTCACCTGTCTGACGCGCGCCTTCCTGAGCGGAGGGCGGCAGGTGGAGGTATTTGAGGAATGCAGACGCATGGCCCACCTACCTTCACCATCGCATCACCAGCTCACACCTGTTACAGAAGACACCTGAACCAGATCTCACCTGTCGGATGCGCGCCTTTCTGAGAGCAGAGGGCGGTAGGAGGAGGTACTTGAGAAAGGCTGACGCATGGCCCACCTACCTTCACCATCTCATCACCAGCTCACACCTGCTACAGAAGACACCTGAACCAGATCTCACCTGCTCCAGAAGACACCTGAACCAGATCTCACCTGCTCCAGAAGACACCTGAACCAGATCTCACCTGCTCCAGAAGACACCTGAACCAGATCTCACCTGCTCCAGAAGACACCTGAACCAGATCTCACCTGCTCCAGAAGACACCTGAACCAGATCTCACCTGTCTGACCCGCGCCTTCCTAAGAGAGGAGGGCGGCAGGTGGAGGTACTTGAGGAATGCAGATGCATGCCCCCTCCACCAGTTGTCACCTTGCAGCGCGGGGTACCTGAGAAAGGAATGGGACAAGGAGGGAGGGAAATGGGTGGAGATGTTCATTCAGAACCACAAGAAGGTACAGGCTGTGCTGCAGGCTGTGCGGCGTGATAAAAGTTGAGTTTTGAAACGTCTCAAAACTCATCGGGGGGGGAGGAAAAAGGGTGGAAATGTCCATTCAGAGCCATAAGAAGCTAAAGGCTGAGCTGTTGCCATGGGCCGTACCTGCAAGCTGTAGGTTTGACTGTACCATACCTAGACTGCTGCCACGGAAAGAAAATCCCTTGCATCCACACCCATTCACAAGCAAAGGTGAACATTGAACAAGCTTGGGCTACACCGTACCTGAAGTGCACGCCTGGATGGACCGTACCTAGGAGTCTGGCCATACCGTACCTCGACTGCTGCCACGGAAAGAACATTCCTTGTCTCCACACCCACGCGCATGCAAAGGTGAAGGGATACCGGCCCATGTCCAATAACGGGCCCTGCGTAAAGTGGGGATGATAGTGGACGGGAAAGGAGGGGAACTTACACATAGCCAGGAGCCTGCATGCAACCAGGAACTTGCACGTCCAACCAACCAAGAACCTGCATTGCACACAATCAAGAACCTACACTAGACGCAACCAAGCACCCACCGTGTAGGCAGCAATGGCAAGCGGCAGCAGAGCCGCAGCTTCCTCAACAAGGCTTATCGGAACAGAGGCAGGGCGGGAGGGGAACGGACCCCCCTCCGCCAGCCTCTGACTGCTGCTGCCCTCACTGCTAACCCTGCTAACCCCATGCCCGCTGCCTGCATTGCTGCTGTCAATACCCCTCATGCTGCTGCCTGCAGTGCTGCTGCTGCTGGTGGTATTAGAGTTGAGGGAGTCAAAGACAGAGGGTGCAGTGGCAGCGGAGAGGGGGGTGGCGGAGGAGAGAGGGGTGGCAGCGGAGGTGGATGGCAGTGCGTTAAGGTGGGCGGGTTGGGAAGAGGACAAGGAGGTGGTGGGGGCATCGACAGCTGGCGGTGGGCGATTGGCTTGGAGAAGAGCGAGGCCTGCGTGCACAGAACAGAAGACAAAACGGTTGGTATGGGTTTGATTGTTCACCCTGCAGCCAGGCTAGGCTTGAGCAGAGGCAGCATGGCGTGGCATGGCATGATATTGCATGGTGAAACAATCGCCATTACCTGCAAGCAACTCCAGGTGACTGGCCCCCACGGCTCTGTACGCCATCACATCGCCCACCGCCAGTTATGTCACTACCCCTAGCACCTGCCACTTGTTGTCATTCAATGCCTTTTGCCATCACATGAACTGCCATTAACCACCTGCTCTCACCCATCACCCACCTGCGAGCAGCTCCAGGTGACTGGCCCCCACAGCTCTGTACGCCATCACATCCCCCAGCAGCGATGCCACTATGCCTAGCACCTGTATCTGCTACCATCAGCCATCCCATCACCTGCCATTACCCATCACCCACCTGCGAGCAGCTCCAGGTGACTGGCCCCCACAGCTCTGTATGCCATCACATCCCCCAGTAGTGACGCCACTATGTCCACCTCATCGTCTACCTCGTCCCTGGGGCAAGAGGGATGGGGACGAGAGAGAGGGGAAGAGGGAGAATGGGGGTAGACATGAGGAAGCGTAAAAGCACTCTTAATGATCATCCCCCAACAGCGATGCCACTATGTCCACCTCGTTGTCTACCTCGTCCCTGGGGCAAAAGGAGAGGGGCAAAAGGAGAGGGGCAAAAGGAGAGGGGCGAAAGGAGAGGGGCAAAAGGAGAGGGGCAAAAGGAGAGGGGGAAAGCGGAGCAGGGCAGAGGTATCATGAGTCCAGCCAGCCATCACATCCCCCAGCAGCGATGCCACTGTGTCCACCTCATTGTCTACCTCGTCCCTGGGAAGGGATGATTGGGGGAGAACAGGAAAGGCTTTGCGAATGTTCAGTTAGGCGTACCCATTGCAGTTCATTCAATATGCACACATAACTGAATCAATGCACTGCAATACCACACCAGTGTGTCACACAGTGCTTACCATGGTCTGGCCCGCCCTTGGCAGCACAGGATCTCCCAGATGCTCCAGTTGAACACCTTTCGGTAGTGTGCCCACCATGCGTGGTCCCAGTGGTGTACACAATAATACTTCCCAAGAACGCATGAGTCAAAGGACTGCGTACCAGGGTCTAGCCCGTCCCATGCAACACAGAATCTCCCTGATGCTCCAGTTGAACATCTCCCGGTAGTGCGCCCGCCACGCGCGGTCCCGCATGGCGTAGAACGACCGCCACATCAGCACGTCGCTGCCAGCTAAGCACTGCCCACCAACGGCGATCCAGCTGGCAGTTAGGACGAAGAGAGCCAGTGGGAGGAGATAGGTCCAGGGGCCTTGGTAACCCACTGGGGATGAGATGTGGAAAACAAGGGAGATTCAAAGGGGAGAGTGAGGAGGGGGAGAGTGGGAGAAGGAAAACGTGGTGAGGATGAGGAAAGCCAGTGGGATGGGAGGAGGTAGGCCCAGCGGCCTTGGTTGGTAACCAACTGGAAAAGGGGAAAACAAGGGTTTAGGGAGACAGCATGAGGGTAGCTCAGAGTCCAGCATCGATTGGATGACTTTTGAGACATCAAAAGATTCACAGGAGTCGGTAGGTACGTACATACAGGAGACAGGAGACGTACATACAGGAGACAGGAGACGTACGCTTCAAGGGGCATGAGGGTAGTTCAGAGTCCAGCATTGATTGGACGATGGCGACAGTGAGGAAGAGAGCTGCGCCCGTTTGTAACAGGGTTACCACATGGCCCACCCTGCTCCACCGCACCCATGCACGGTAACGACGCTGATGACAGGCACGAAGGGGGAATGGAATTAGACAGACCAGGAGAAGACACACTTGTAACAGGGTTACCACATGGGCCATCGTGCTCCTCCTCACCCACGCACAGTAGCGACCCTGAACGCACGAACATGGTAGTGGCACAGGTTGGGTTGGTGGGTGGGGGAGGGAACGATAGAGGGGTAGGGGGAGGGCGGAGGACCCATAAGCACCTGTCGCTCGGACTTGTTGGCGCTGCCAGACAGTGAGGTGGACAGCCTGATCGCTTGCAGCTCGTCTCCATCCGTGTCCGCGTCACTCCCTCAGCCACTCATCCCCCAGGCCACCCCCCTTTCTCCCCTTGACACACATCCCATAAGCACCTGTCGCAGGGCCTTGTTTGTGCTGCCCGACAGTGAGGTGGAGAGCCTAATTGCTTGCAGCTCGTCTCCATCCGTGTCCGCGTCACTTCTCCTGCCTTTGATCCCCCCAGGCCACCCCCACTTTCCCCCACACATTTCATGTTTGAGACGTGTCAAAACCCCACACATGCCATAAGGGCGTGTGTGATTTTGGGGTTTATGTCAAAGTTCGAACTCAAACCGCTTTGCACCTTGGTCAAACATTTCGCAACTGTATCGTACCGTGTTGAACCGTTATAAAAGTTCGAACTTTGGGAAGTTCGAAAAAAAATCACACACGCCCTAAGCACCTGTCGCTCGGACTTGTTCGCGCCGCCAGACAGTGAGGTGGACAGCCTGATCGCTTGCATCTCGTCTCCATCCGAGTCCGCGTCACTCCCCCAGCCTTTGATCCCCGGGTCTCCTCCATTTCCCCCTTGATTACTTTCTCTATCTGCTCCTCCTCCCTCTCTTCCGCCTCCTCTTTCTCCTCCTCCTTCTCTTCCTGCTCTCCCTGATACCCCTCGTCGCCTGCTTTTTTCTCGAGCAGCAGCGACTCGGCTGCTCGCCCCTCTGCCAGGAGCTTCATCCTCCTTATAAGATGATCTCTCGCTTTCGTTAAGAGATGCCAAGTCCTGCGCTGAACCGGCTACGGTTATCGCGTCAGCGGCTGCAGCTTGAGCTGCTGCTGCGCCTATGGCCCAAAACACGCGCAGGAGACAGGTGAATGCGACTGTAATCAAGGAGATTGTAACGGTGCTGGAACATTCATTCTTCTTGCACTGTACACCTGTGGCGAAAGAAGTTCCAGCAACGAGCAGAATGAATGGCAGAAGGATCAGCGAAATCGTGCGAAACCGGCGAAGCCCGCTACAGCAACCGAAGATTCTTCGCCAAGTCCCCATTTCGTTCGCATGAGAAGAAGCCGAGCAGCGAGTTAAGTTAGTCAAGGATCACACAATTAGGAAAAGTTACAAGTCACTTAAAGTCAATTACGAATGTCCTTGTTACGAATATATGCACTTTGAACGCGATCATCTACAGTATCTTCGCGTAAGCATTCGTGCCTTCTTGGACGTCTGAACACTGCTAAACTACAGTCTCAACTTTCTTAGGTGTCTGAGACCGTTGGAGCCGCGCTGGGAGCTGAGCCTCAAAGCAAGCAATGCGGACGAATGGAATAACGCTGCTTGCCAATTTGCCACCTCGAAACTGATCGTTCCTGCTTAGACGACCTGTTGCTGAGCTGTGTGGGTGAAGCTTGAAGCCCGCCGAGTTGAACTCCTTTTGCCCTGATGCTAGGAGGTGTTGTATCTCTGTGATAGAACTCCTGCCCAGCTCTGCTACCCTCCGGATTGCGCTCTCAGAGGGGTTGAATGTGGCTTGGTGCAATACAAAGCTTTCAGAGCGATTGAGTCAAGCCTTCCAGTCCTCTAATTTGTCCTTGCAACCGAAGCATGCATTTGTTCACATTCGGTCTTTCGTGTGTGTAGGTCTGGTCTGGAGTTGCAGCTGCTATGCTTGGGGGAATCAAATCGAGGTAGGCTTGGAGCAAGGCGTCCCAAGAGCGTGGAACATCCTTATGAACCAGTGTCCCGTCGGCTCTTTGGTCAGCATTTGTCTCGTCAACGGTTTGCGACAGTTTTCGTCAGGTAACACTCAAAACCCCACATCCCAAGTTGGAAAACACTTGGTCACCCAGAAAAACGGAGTCGCGATGATACACGAAAGCGCCTGCTTCGTCAAACACCGCCCTGCAAATTGGGTTGCAGCACGTCACTCATGACATCACCTGGTTTCATTTCGCATGTTTCTCCTGACGTCGCCACTTCTTGTCTTATCCGCGAGGTTCAACGAGTGGCGACCAACGAGCATAACCTGTGGAGGTGCGTGCTTCATGCAGTCTTCGTCAGTCAGCTTCGTAGGTCAATTGCGATTTTCGCAACAGTGGTTACTGCCGCTGTTGGGCGACCATCGCCTTGTTCAAAAGGATGTTCCACGCTCTAACCACCAACCCCTATGTGCGTCACATCTCGAGGGGGGGATGTGACATCGACTGGTCTCTCCCACGAATCGACGATTCAATAACACTGGCAAAGGCTGTGTTCTCACGCTCAACGATTGGTGTCATCTCGTGTCGTGTGCCCCTTTGTTTCAACTTACAAGCCCCCCACCGCAAGGTCAGGGGTGGCGTAGTGAGCGAAGAGTTTCTCGAAAATGTTACGAGCAGAAATCCGTTTTCTGCATCCTAACGAACTTGCAGGCGGAACAGTCACCGTACTAAACCAGACAGATTAGTTTTTTCAACGTACTGTACCGAACGCAACCTCAAGAATTTGGGCCTTCGGACAGCTGGTTACCACACGATGTGACGTGCCCTGAGGCTCCAGGAAGGTTTCCTGGCAAGCTGAGCAGAAGGTTTTGCATTCTGTTATGGGAATGCCAGAAAGGCAATATCCCTTTAGGCAGTCATTGCTTCCTTGTTTTATTCTTGGGAAACCCTTCCCAGATCCTTCGTTTCAGATTTTTCGCATATTTAACCCCAGGTTTACTCAAAAAGTACTGCTTTGGGCCATTTTGCTCACGCGAGGCCCAAAGTATGTTCAAAACTGTTTCCCCATTGTTTTTGTCGATGGTTGTCACAACAAGGGAAGATGGGGGGGGTGCACACTCAATGTTGTTCTTGTAGATTGTGAGCACAAGCTGGTGCGAATGGGGAGCGCATGGGTGGAGGGTGAGAATGGGGATGCATGTGGTTACTGTTCGCAGCTACTGCTCAAAGCTGTCCCTAAACTGAATTCTCCAAACTTTACACTCATGCATGACCGCGGGAAGGCCTGGTCGGCAGCCAGGCTACAAGTGATGCCTCTCATTCGTGAATCGTTCTGCATCACTCATATCACCCGGAATTTTAACTCGAAGTTTGGCTCTACCGTGGATGGCAAGATTGAGCTGGCTGCACTTGCCTTAACACCGGACGTTTACAGGGGGATGATGGACAAGGTAGAGATAGAGTGTCCGGGAGGGAAGGAGTATTTAAAGAGGGATGGTTTATCTCAAAAGTGGGCTGCATCATCCTTCGAGGCACCACGCTTTGGAAATTACTCCTCTAATCCTGTAGAGTCACACCATGCGACGATGCGTACTGTACGGAGGCAAAATCCTGCTCAGGTTCTACTATCATTTATCCAGAAGGAAGCCACTGCATTGTGTGAGATAGGGAAGACGTATGGACGCTTGAATGATGCCGAGTTCTCCGCAAAAACCGCTGCCATCATTACTGAAAACCGAGAAAAGGGGACGTCGTACAGGGCGGAGCAGACAGGGCCCTTTGACCCATCGAACGGTCACCGCTTTTCGTACAAGGTGACGAGGCGAAGCGGAAACGAGCAAAGGCGGGTGCTCATCGATCTTCGAGAACCCAAGAAATCAACGTGCTCGTGCAACTACACACGGTAAGTGCATAAACCGCTAAACCCATGCATATCTGCGCCACCTGTAATTGTTGGCTTCTATTCGACCACATTAACACATATTATTGCCGTTTTCTCCCTCTCCCTTGCACCATCTTGCAGCGAGTATGGATTGCCTTGTGTCCACCTGTTTGCTGCTTTTAGTCTCCATGGTACTGGTTCTGGTGCCATGGAGGTGGTGGATCGGATTTACACCCCTTCAGCTCTACGGGAAGTCTACTGCAAGGCATTTGAGAGTTTGGACCCAACAGAGTTCGTTCCGGATGGCGAGACAATGGCGCCATCTTACCCAAAGAGGCCTGGGAGGCCACGTGATAAAAAGCTGAGGTAGATGGGAGGAAACTGCGGAAGTGTGGAAAGTGTGGTGAGAAAGGGCATAATCGGTTGACTTGTGATTTGCGGGCACAACGCAATGCCATATGGGAGGCAATGAGATCGCCGCAAGGCCATATGAACGTGCAAACAACCACCCATGCAGAAGCATCTGTGAGTCTTTCCCCGTGCAGCGCGTGCGGTAATATGCATCGTAGAGGAGTCTTTTGCGCACCCCTGAGGCAACAACGAGAGCAAGATGGACAAGACCACCAAGATACCAATGGAGAGAGCGACACATTTTCAAATGGTGAGGAGGATAGTGAGGATGAGGATGGGTTTGAGGGGGAGAACACAGAGGGTGACGAGCAGAATGCTTCATTGGAGAACGACGTCGACAACAACTTGAATCAGCCCATGGTGGAGGTATTTGACTTTACATACCCTCACATCCCTCATAGTGGTGTTGATGTCAATGAGGCGATGGCAGGGACATCTGCTGAAAGGAGGGTGGAGGGTGGAGCTGAGGAAGAATATTCTGTTCCTGCAGAGGGAGCCCGAACGAATGGTGAGCCCATGCCTGCAGAAGCAGATGCAAGGGAAAGAGGAGGGAGAAGAGGAAGGGGAGGAGGTGGGGGAAGGGGTGGAAGGGGTGAGACGGGCGAAAGGGGTGAAACGGGAGGAAGGGGTGAAACGAGAGGAAGGGGAGGATGAGGAGGAAGTGGAGGAAGGGGAGCAAGGGTTGGAAGGGGAGGAAGGGGAGGAAGAGTTGGAAGGGGAGGAAGGGGAGGAAGGGGAGGAAGGGGAGGCAGAGGAAGAGGGGTTACCGCTACATGCGACACAGATGGCTTCACTGGACAAGTTGGGGATGTAGGAGATGGTTCGGAGGAGCAAGGTGCTGTTCCTACTCAGGGAGGGATGGGGGCTGGTTCTGCTCAGGGAGGGATGGGGGCTGGTTCTGCTCAGAAAGGGATGGGGGCTGGTTCTGGTCAGGGAGAGATGGGGGCTGGTTCTGCTCAGGAAGGGATGGGGGCTGGTTCTGCTCAGGGAGGGATGGGGGCTGGTTCTGCTCAGAAAGGGATGGGGGCTGGTTCTGCTTAGGGAGGGATGGGGGCTGG